AAACGCAAAGCCAGTCTCAGATGTCTGTAGCATCTTCTCAACCAGCCTCACAACTCATCGACTCCCAGACAGATACTTCTCAGCCCCAGACGTCGTCTGCTAGTGCATCCCAGCCGATACAGCCTGCTCGTCTGACGGTCTTCCGCCAGGCTCTGGGCCCGCTCATGGGTACACGGCTGTTTGCCACTGGTGACACCGCTGACGTGGAAGAGCTCATCGGGGCTGTGAACACGGCAGTGCGTGGAACACGATCTCTCGGAGAGAGCCATGTGTTCCAGCGTCCTGAAGCAATCCAGGCCTTGAGGGCCATGAACGAGCGAAATGAATTGATGTAAGTGCCCACGACCCAAAGACACTCACGTCAAGAACTCATAACATGACTAACATTAAACCTATAGGTTCCTTGAGGATGACGAGACCGTTTACAGAATTTAATAGCATAGAAAACTGGATGGAGTTTCAGTTGTATGGTCGACTTTTGATTGGGAGCTGGAAAGGGATTTATGTCGGACACGTTAACGAATGTCACTTTCATCCCCATCGACGGGTTAGTTTGGCGTTTCGGGGGAGTTTTAGTCTATACATTGCAGATGTCAATTGGCCCTGGCATTAAGTTCTGGTCCTGGCATTTCGTGTAATAAACTTTCGTTCCTTGCATAATACCTGAAGTATAATCCTTGCAGCTGCTTGGTTCTTTGTCCGGTACGACTTCAATACATCCACGACAGTCGACGTAATTGTAGAGATTTCGATATTATATCACGGAACAGTATGTCTTCTTACCCATTCCCATCTTCTACTGCAAGCAAGATAAGATCATTGAAGATATAGACAAAGAAATGAATTATTAAACCGAGATAGAGAAGTAGAATGAGAGAAGAGTGTAAAAAAAACAGATGGCATAGAACATAGTCACACTTTTTTGTACGGACATGCTATGATGCATCCAACGTTAGAAACCGGGGTATAGATTCAAAGCTTGAATTACAACTTATATGCTAGGTTCCTCATCTTTGACTTTATCGGCCTCTGCTAAGAAACCAGAGTCGTCAGACGAGAAAGACGATGTACGCACACCTTCACTAATCTGTGCTTGTGTGAGGGGTGACACTCCCCGGGAAAGAGTCTTGGACTTCTTCTTGCGGTGTTGGTGTCCTTGCTCGGAGCCTGACGCCGTAGAATTAGGGGTTAAGCTTCCCCGACGGGGCCGGCTACTCGCAGACGACCTTGACGGAGGACGGTCATCAGTATCTACGGGGGTGGTACTTCGGGACGGCGTCCGTGAGTGCGAGTCCGAGCGCGTGCTACGCCGGGCAGGCGATTTCGGCTCGTGGCTGAGCCTAGAGATGCTCAAGTGGTGGGAATGGCGATGGTGGGCTTTTTCGTCGGCGGACTTGGTGATCGTCGCTGCGGCGGCTCGCCGGCGCTGTGACGCCTTCCATCCAATGCCAAACCACCAGAACCAGCCACCGTCCTGCTGAGCTAGTTGGCGTTCCTTCTGGCGCAGTTTTTGGCGCAGTTGGGCACGCCGTTCGTTCTCCTTTTCCCAGAACTCGGTGCGGTAGTCATCCCAGTTCCCGCGGAACTCGGGCGAGAATGACTTGGGGAGGAGCAGTAGTCGGATATAATCACCTCCCGGACTGAGGTCTTCCTCCACCAGGCCCGACTCCATGTCCATGTTGTAGTACGGCTGGTGGTGCTGCCGACCGCCAACGCGTTTCTCCGACGCAGGCCGCTCAATATAGTGGAAGTCTCCGGCTGGGGAAGGGAAGAGCGGAATTGAAAAGGGGAAGAGGAAGGAGAGATAGGATAACAGCTCCTGCCACCAGGGACCGCGGATCACAACGATCTTGGTGTTCATCGTGCGAAGGCCGCGGTTGGCGACGGCGAGCCAGCGCCGCGGCCAACGTACTCCACGCTCCCATTGCCCTGTGCCCCAGACCAACAGTGCAGTGACCACTCCTCCGAGCAGCGCAACCTTCTCCCACATCTCCACCACCCAGTACACGGAGCCGCCTACCCCGCGGCCATCTTCGCGAGGACGGAGGAACAGCGCGTAGGCAAAGTAGGTGATCCAGGCAGCAAGCAGCAGGAGGAAAAACGTGTTCTGCCGCCGGCGTTCTCGCAGCGCAAGGTATTGAGCCCGAAGGGAGCTTTCTAGGATGAGCAGGTTCAGGTAGATCTGAGGTGGAGAGGAGGGCAACGTGGACAGCGGGTCCGGTGTTGACGGGCGTGGCGGGGAAGACGGATCAGAAGAATTCTGAGGGTACGACTGTGGAGCAGAGTTCAAAGTGTCGGACGATGTTGATGAGGGCGAGAGATGATTTGCAGGAGCCGGTGACCCTTTAACCAGGTGATCCAGGCTTGCGGAGGCCATGTCCGCGACAGTAGAGGAGAAGAAGGGCACCAGAGAAATCGAAACAACTTTTGAAGCAAATGGAAAACGGACGGAGAACAAATACACTGAAGGATCAGAACAGCACGGCCTTCACGGCCAGGCGCTATCTCACAGCATGGAAGTAAACGAGTGAGAGCACGAAGGAGCGCAGACAAGATGGAATGGAGAGAAACGTTGAACTGTTGGAATGGTGGATTTAGTTGGACCCCGACAATAGATTACCGTCGGTATCGTATTGGTTCGGTATGGCTCTCGGAACAAGTCGACTGTCACATGATGGACGGGACATCTTTAAACAAGAAACAAGATCAACAATCCCTTGATATTCATAGTCTAATTGTATACATTATTATGCATATTCACTTGCCGTTAACACCGTGTAACCCGACAAAAGTAATCCAGAATCGCTCTTTATAAACAGTACATAATCAATCAAAGAAATCTATGCCTTTTTATTGTGCAGCCTTGCGATCCACGTCTTCCATCTCGGATAGAACCAAGCTGTTAAACTCTTCCCATCCATCCAAATAGACATGGTGGCCCGAATTCTTAATGACCACAACCTTGGCTGAGCCGTGGTCCGCATTTCGCTCTTCCGGGGTTGCGTTCTGAAGCACCTTGCGCTTCTCTGCATCAAGCTTGGCTTTTGCTGCCATTCCACCTTTCACATCCATCCAGTCATGATCGCCATACATGAAGACTATGGGGAGACCGTTTTCGCGCTTGGCGGGCGTTGACAAAGACGAGCCTGAAGCTATGGTAGAGTCGGGCTGGGGCAAGTTCTGGCGAGATGACTCTATGGATTGTGTAGATTCTTGCGTAGAGGATGAGGGCGTCTGAAGCATCTGTCTTCCCACCCCTTGAATGCGTCTGATTAGAGGGCTGCGTGCAAAGGCACCAGGGGCGAGAATATATGCGAGCGCATACTCTCCACTGCCCCGTTGACTGAAGATCGAATACGAGTAATCATGGAGGGCCTTGGCCTCGTCTGCAGGTAAATGAGAAAATCGCCGGGATGTCCAGCCTGATACAAGTCGCGGGCCTAAGGGACCCGCCCAGCGAATCAAGCTGAAGGGAGATATGTTGGCATCCCAAAGGTAGGCAAACCACTTGGGGACCATCCGTCGGGGACGCTGATCGGGAGCGGTACTACCTGTCGGTGGGCCTTTCAGGAGGATATTGTTGTCACCTTTCTGAATTGTCTCGGGTGGCACTGATGAAGCTGAGTCTGCGATGTTGCGTTGATCCTGGGAGAATTCAGTGGCCATCGTGGACTCGGACGGCATATCTGCCGACACAGCATATGGGTCTTCTGGAATTCCAACTGGTGAAGCTAAGATGAGCTTGTTCAAGCGACCAGGATATTTGAGGGCATAGGCGACCGCCATGTAACCTCCCAAACTGTGGCCGAGCAAAGTAAAGCGATCGATTTTGCGTTTGATGCGCCATTCCTCCAGGGCGTCCACAAACCAAGCCTCCGCCTCTCTGATGGCATCTTCACGGTCTTTCGCCTTGATACGGAAGGGCGGCCGTGTGCTACGGCCCATTCCCAGCAAGTCTAGCGCATGTAGTTGCCACCCTTTCAGTCGGCTCAAAGGCTCAAAATTCTTGTAGAAGAAGCCCAACCCGGCTCCATATCCATGGACCATAACCAAGTGCTGGTTTGCTTCCTCCCCAATTCGTTCGACGGAGAATTCGTTGAGAGCTCGATTTTTGCCGCTTAGCTCGACCATGCTGGAGCGCCACCTCCGAGGGCCATAAGGATCATTGAGTGAATTGGCCGCTACCTCGCCCTCCTGGCTGTGATCGGCTGATTGTAGGCTCCCTGGTTCGCCACTTGGGAGATTACTCGTTTTTCCGGTTTGCAAATGCGTAGGGGGTTCATGTTGAAGGTAGGGCAAGTATGAAAGAACCTTATGCTCGGCTGCGGCAGCCGGCAGACACGACCACTGGAGAACCCCATCTCAGTGACTGACACTTGAGCTTATTTCCAGGTTTGACAACGTACCCATTGACTGAAGCCTTCTCTGTAACCTAGTGGGAACCAGGCTGAGGGTGGCGGGGTTGCGCTGGCTCCGCGAGCCGCGTGAGGAGTACCGCCCTGGTGGGAGGCTAAATCGTCCTTGGACGATTCCAAGGATTGCGAGGCCATCGACGATGAGTAGCGACCAAAGGCAAAGGGGCTAGATGACGTTAAGAGGGGGGGATGTTCGAATGCGGCCCAGGATCGAGTGGCCTGAGAGGTAAGCGAAGAAAGTCGCGCGGTAGACACCTTGTCGCGCAGAGCAGAGAGTGACAGAGTAGTATTCTCTGTCACTCGCAGAGAGAGAGTAGGAGAAAATTAAGGGCAGCCGCGGGATTTATATGGAGGGTAATCGAGGCCCGTAGAGACCAGCAAAGGCGAATATCGGGGCGGATGAGAAGCCAAAAACCGCTTATGTCCGAACCAATCGACCTAACCCCGAAACAGGCACCGATGGATGACGAAGGATAGAGAACAAAAAGAATGTCGAGGGATTGAGGCTCATGGAGAAGTTAATCTAGAATAGAAAGGGTGGCGGAGGACCGTGTAGACAACGTACTATACATGGATAAAAATGACAGCAAGCAAAAAGATAATTATAAAGGAATGATTGGGCGGAAGTGAGAAGTGGGAACCCCAACAGAGGATGATGACGCTCAACTGTTCCTGCTGGAACATCCCGAGGGTATTGTATCGTATCGTACCCGAACACTACCACTCGTACGGAGGACATACCAAGTACAAGTACCTACGTATGTACACTTACTAGTATGCTACTATACTCGGAATGGGTCTTCTGGCAATTAATTTATTTCCATTGGGGATTTCACGAATATTTGACGATCCCTATGACCTCCTCTGATGATTCTACCGACATTTCCTAGAGAAAGCTTCGGTATATTATCACAACAAATCGCCTCTCATCACTAACCCGCTCAAGCTCTAGGAAGACCTCACGATTCGAGCGCTTGAATTGGGACCAGATATGCTCCTCCGACGATATCTCACTCCACCAGGGTAGTGCGCCATGGCCCTACCCATAGCTCTCGGGGACCTGTTTTCTTCAATCGGTGTCGTGCTCCCCGGCGTTGTGGTTCTGCTGCTAACTCCACTGCTAGGTCGTAAACTGAAGTAACCGCCAGAGCCATCGGCTGGACTAACAACGTAGTTGTTGGTCTGGGAGGAGCTCAACATAACGGAAGGAATGTCTCCTATTGATTGTCGTGACTGTGAGTGTGGCGATACTGCTCTTGACCGGGATTCAAATGCAGGATTGTCCGACCGAATCGATAGAGCCAGTGATAATGAGTTCGGAGTGCGGATGTTTAGGCTCGACAGCACCGATGTGGTAGCTGAGCGGCGATGGTGGAGACCATGGCTATCATCAGGACTGGCCAGCATTTGTCTGTGCCTCCAGGGTAGCGAATGCTCCGAAAGCTCGTTATTCCTCATGCCGAGTGGTTGTGATGGTAATTCCAACCGATTATTGATCGAAAGCCAGGCCCTCTCATCGGCCTCCTCACTTACGCTGTTACTGGAAGAGGAAGACACGGATCTTGAATGAAGTCCATAGACTTTAGAGGATGACGTCCAACAGCGCCATCCGCCTACGCCCTCGAAGTCCCTCCTCTCGTCGCCACTAATCAGGCCGAGGAAGCCGCGCAATGACGGGTAGTAACCATTTTTATGATGCTCTGCTCTTCGGATTCGCCGTCCGTCGATGTCGTGGAGTGTACTATCCTGGTCATTTGGTTCTTCCAAATGTGAACTGTTGCGTCGCTGGCCGCGTCCTGGTCGGCTATGGCTAGGGGAAACAGGGTTGGACTGGTGGCAACTGGGGTCTGAGAAATGGATGGTCCTGCCGTAATCCAATGACCGGCGCTTTGGTGTTGTAGCAGCTAACGGGGTCGTGGGTTCAGAGGGGGCGAAGTTTAAGAGGGACGAGGTGTTGGAGGTGGGAATGACAAAATAGCTCGCGATGATCGCATAGCATAGTTCGATGTAGATCACCGAAAGCCGTAGAAACAGAGCCAGCACCGAAAAGCAGATGGTAATATAAGCTGATATGACGAGAGGTATGGAGACGAGGGCAAGGAATGGTAGTGTAAAGAAAGTGGTGGTTGACATGAAGACTTGCAACGAATATATATGGTACTAGATCTCTAAACCCGAGGGATAGATATAACAGATAGCAAGTGAGCCACGCTATGCGATACCAAACTGTGTGATATGAATCGTTAAGAAGAAGACATCTTGATCTTTGAAGAGGGAGACAAAGAAGAATAAGAAAAGGAGAATCCTTGTCGTGCTCGACCCATCGGCTTACTTTGGTGAACAATAACCATAAAATGCGGAGAAGGAGCATGTGACGACTGTATGCCTCAGGCAGCAATTTATGGAGGGGATGAAGCTAGAACGATTTATTACATCACAACCCCCAGAGCCGGTATTTATTGAGCCTTTCTGTCCTCGGAAAAAAAAAAAAAAGAAAAAAAATTTCTGTCAACGCAATTCTAATTAGCATGACACCCCAGGAAATTCAAGATGGGACAGGTTTTCCCTGGGATATTGGGGTGTTCGATGCCCATTGCCATCCCACCGATACTATGTCATCCATTGCGGAGATTCCTAGCATGCGGGCAACAACGCTCACAGTCATGGCTACTCGGGGAGAAGACCAAGAATTAGTGCACCAGACTGCGGTGTCTCTCACAGGTGGACAGTTACCATCGAATCCGGGACAAAGTATCGGACGTGTACTGCCTTGCTTTGGCTGGCATCCTTGGTTTTCCCACCAGATCCTTGACGATACGGGGATAACAGAAACTGAGGGCATATCGACATCTGACAAGAAACTGGTGCATTATAGTAAAGTCCTTACTCCATCACCAGCGGATACTTTCATATCTGCTCTACCTGACCCCAAACCGCTTTCACAGTTTATCTCAGAAACACGCGAGCGGTTGCTAAACCATCCCGCCGCTCTTGTGGGAGAAGTTGGTCTTGACCGTGCTTTTAGACTTCCCCAAGCCTGGACGCAGCAGGAGAAGGAGGGTCGTGATTCACAGATGACCCCCGGGTCTCGCGAAGGTCGAGCCCTTTCTCCTCATAGAGTTCAGCTAGAACATCAAAAGGCAGTGCTAGAAGCCCAGTTACGCCTGGCGGGAGAATTTCAGCGGCCGGTCTCTGTACACAGCGTTCAATGTCACGGAGTAGTATTTGATCTTTTCAAGAAGTTGTGGACTGGCCATGAGCGAAAGAAGCCGTCGCGACGGGAGAGGGCACGGCGTTACAGTGCCGCAAATGCTCACACGCAGAGTGATACGGAGGATGAGCAACAAAAGCTGACCAAAGCCGAAAAACTACCGCTTCCTTTCCCGCCAAGAATCTGTATGCATTCGTATTCAGGTCCCGTGGAACCTCTGAAGCAATTCTTAAATCCGTCAAACCCTTCAGACGTGTATTTCTCATTCTCCACTGTGATCAACTTCAACGGACCGTCGCCCCAAAAAGTCATCGAGGTCATCAAAGCCTTACCGGATGACCGGATCCTCATAGAAAGTGACTTGCACACCGCTGGGCAGCAGATGGATGATTTGTTGGAAGAAGTCGCTCGGCAGATCTGTGAGTTGCGTGCATGGGATTTGCACCAGGGGGTTCAGCAGCTTGCCGAAAATTGGAAGAGATTCGTCTTCGGTTGAAGATATTGGTATTCTTGAGCAGCGTTTGAGGATGCGTGCCTGTCGATAAGTTGGTAGCACTGTACATAGCGTCCTGTTGTGGATGAGATTTTCGAAGACCGATGGACGTGTAGAAGATAAAGCCCAGATAACTTAATAGCAACCTAGATGACAGCTCACTGATAGAGCATATGCGTAGGTATGTGTGTGATCCAAGAGAATTGTGGTACGATTCGTGAGACAGGTCTATGTAGCACCATCACCATCTAGAAGGAGTCTCTATCTGTGCGTCTTATTGGAGACATAAGGTGGTTAGAATCACTAGAGCTACTATTAAGATGGTATCCTGACTCTATTCTCAGTAAGAGAGTCTGTAGTATAGAATCCTAAGAATAAAAGGGGACTAGGCCGGCCTATGTGCTTGGTAGCAGTGGGCATAAAATAAGCGTGACGCCCGTGGCACGGTCGGTTTCCGACCGCCGATAAGTTGTGGAAAGATAGGGAACTCAATTAGTCCCCGAAGTATAGATTCCATGTCGCTGATTGGTGCATGGTGGCTATCAGCCATTCAGTATCTCTTGGTTGAGTCCCCACTCGTCCCAGAATATCGAAAATTATGAATAATAATGAGAATGGCATAATAACGATCATGACTTGGCACTGAGGGAACGGACTCACAATGTGGTTCATGGCCAATTTACAAGCTTTTTATGAATCTGCACACCAAAGGAAGGGATGGACGAAAGTTACCAGTAAGATCGATTAGGATTATGTATTGGATACTTGACCTCTCGTGATCTTTTCCCAATTCGAACTTCTCCGCACCCACGTGACCTGCCCCAGACTCGCCGGCAGATGCCCCACCACTAGTTCTCCGGCTCTATCGATTTCTCCTCTTCCTTCCCTTTTTCTTACGTTTCACAATCCTCCATTGCCACTCTCTCCTTGATCATGTCTTGAGAATAAACTATCTTTTCATCCCTAGGACTGCTCCGATTATCAATGATGAAGTTGCTAGTCCTCGGACCCTGAACCCGCGTCGATGCTTTGCTATGTCCTCCACCGCGCATAACAGCCAACCATCCACCGGCAATGGTGTGACTAAACGCAAGTCAGGTACGCAGCGCGGTCACCACCCACCATGATTCTTTCGTCTGTGTGCGGTTATGCTGACTCAACCCGATTTAGGCTCCGCAGCCTGTATTCACTGTCATCGGCGTAAAGTCCGATGCGATGCTCGCATTGTCGGTTTACCTTGCTCGAATTGTCGCTCTGCGGGAAAGGCGGATTGCCGCATCCACGAGAAGAAAAAACGCCTGGCTGTGCGCTCCATCCTTGATCCAGTTCCCATTCGCTGTCGTCCACCCCTTGACTCCGATTCTACTCCCACGCCGTTACCATCCACGCCTATCCAGCCGAATGCTTTCACAACTGCCTTTCGGGGCGTCCAACCCGACGTGACGAGTCCTGTCGCAGCCGGCACACAAATCATTCAATCGCCACACTCTAGCTACACTAATGGTAATCATGGTTCCCAACCGATTACAGAAACCCAAACATTCGATCGCCAGCCGGGTGCCGACCGGTCCATGGACCTGGAGAACAACGCAGATTTGGAGAAGCGACTCGTGAAGCTGATTGATGAGGAGGAGTCGGGCAGTCGAGAAATTCAAAGGGGTGTGAGGGCAATATATGTTGGCCATGAACTTTCGAATATGTCATTCTTGATCCGGCAACAGCGTGATAAAGACGACGATGTGTATCACTTCGCGGGCAATGAAATTCCTCGACGGCAATTGAAAACAGGCCATGACCAGCTCCTTATGGATGCCCTCACACTCCCGGAACCGGCCCTCGCTGATGAGCTGGTACAGGCGTACTTCATGCACGTAAACCCAGGGTATCCCATAATCGAGGAGGAACTGTTTATGACTCAATATCGTAATCGTGACCCAGCCGATCCTCCTCCAATATTACTTCTCCAGGCAATTTTACTCGTGGGGGCCCATGTTACACGCCCAAAAGCAGAGCGAGATGCCCTGAAGGAAATATTCTTCCGTCGTGTCAAATGGCTATTCGACAGTCGCATTGAACGCAATCGTGATATTATGGTTCAAGCTGCATTGCTCATGACATGGCACTCGGATAGTGCCGATGACGACGTAGCGGCTAATGCCCACTACTGGGTGGGAGTAGCTGCTAGAATCGCTACAGGTCTTGGTATGCACCGTAACCCGGTATCTAGCAAGTTTGTACCTCGCGATCGCCGAATGTGGAGAAGGTTGTGGTACATTCTGGTTCAATTTGATGTGTTGGTGTCATTGTCATATGGCCGACCACACGCTATGTAAGTTGCATCCACTCGCTTGGTCTCCAGATCTGGGAATTCGTGCTCTAACCCAAAGTGTACCTTAGCAACCTTGAGGATTCAGATGTCTCCCCTTTGACTGCTTCTGACTTTGAAGGGTGTGGTTCTCGAGTGCAGGCTGAGTATGTTATTAACTTCTCAGAACTGTGTACAATGATCTCGTATATCGTGCGGGAACGTTTTGGGCTGAGAGTCAGTGCCGAGCGCCGCAAAGCTGCTTTGCAAGAAGCCGACGAAGCCCTAGCAAACTGGTCCCTCAAGCTACCAGATAGCTTGCGCCTACGAGCCTCTGATATGGATCCGTGGTCGGCCATGCTTCATCTGACATATAACAACTTCTTAATTCTTCTTCATCGGCCACATCCAAGAGCTTCCGCATATTCAGATGACTACGGTCCGCACGACGCAGAAATCTGCAGTGCAGCCGCTGGAGTTATCGCTTCGATATTCGAGGAACTACGTCTGAACGACCGGCTGAAGTTTCTGTGGTACTCTGGAGTGCATACGCTCTTCACAGCAATGATTCAAGTCCGGGTGGAACTTCGATTCTCCAATCCTGTCCTCGCAATCAACGCCTTGCGCCGCTTCGACTCAGCGTCGTATTCTCTCCGTGAACTTGCAGAGTATTGGTCTCATGCCAACACCATTCTAAGATTATTCCAAGACTCCAGACGACTCCAGGAGGACTTACGAATGGCTACCAGCGAAAGACCAAGACGATTCAGCACACATGATCAAAATAAGAATACAAATAACCCCTCTAATCCTCATCCCACCCCCACCCCCAATCCCAGTTCAAATACCACTCTACAGAGCCCTCAGACCGAGCCGCAACTTCCATACGAAGTTCCTACCCCGGAATCTCCGCGTATACCCCCAACCACCATGAGTCCCAACCAGAACCAGCCATTCGACAACTGGATCCCATCCAGCCATCTCGCTTCTGTGGACCCCATAGATCAGCCTAGAGAGTTCCTGGATTGGCGGCAGCTCTTTTCCTTTACCGATCCGGATCAGTCCGTTCTCCCAGTTCCGATGGAAGGATTGCCAGAGTTAGAGGATGAATGGCGCCAAATATATTGGCAGGAAACTCCTTTGTCTGATCTTCTCCAGGACGGAGGATGGATGCATGGATAAATGCGTACTTGCGCAGCGGATATATTTTTTTCTTTTTGTTCTTTTGGACTTGACTAAAATGGCGATGTTCATGATACCTGTTTCGTATTTGCGGATGATCATATGACTATAATGGATTGATTACACATGATGCATACAGCCTATCGTATACCAAGCCGCACCAAGTGCAACACACCGGGATCTTGAAATCCAAATGTAAAAGCTCGTTCAGGTGTTCATCGAGGACCGTGAAGTCCTATTTCATTCTCTCTCTATCGGTACCTCCTACACTATTTCGTACGTTGGAAAAAAAAAAATCAACTGGAATCACTAAATACAAGAAGCTGAGTCGAGTCGATGCGAGCACGACACGTCGCCCAGCTCAGACACGCAAATGAGGGATATGACTGTATAAGAAAAACGTAAAGGAGTTCTGGAGTGGCCCACTTTACAAGCAATTGTACAAGCCTTGTTCTGAGTCCAAGAAGACATCGCATAGGGATTGACCCCAAATAAGAAAACGCGCCGACCCTTCACAACTATCTTTATACCCTCTGAAGTCGTAATCAATCCATAAATAACCCATAAATAACCCATTGTATCGTACGACGTCATTAAGATGCTGTACAGGGAGACGCTCCGAAGGTAAGAAAAGACCTTTCGCCCGGTCTAGGAGCTCTGGGCCTGGCAATAACACAAGGTTGGCTTTCTAATTCCTCAAGCCGCGTCGAGTGCAACGTTGGTCGATCTTTGACGGAGGAAAGCTGCTGGTTCCTCAGATCTCACGTGCACAGACACTAGTAGGAATCGCCAGCCGTTCCATTGTGCGGCTGGCCCACCATGGGCGGGTACCCGTAGGCAGAGGCATCTTGTTCAGCGGGATCTAAGTTTGGATTCATGATGCTGTTGGCGTTATCAGCAGCATCGGGGAACGCTCCCGCGGTTGCCGGACGTCCTCCCGGAGCGGAGCTTACGCCCCCGACAGGTCCGCCAGAGGCGTATCCGCTGCTTGTCGGCCTATTTTGATGCTCACCCCTTGCGGATTGGGTCTAAAACGTTAATCAGCATTGTACATCCTGGCCGAGAACACTGCCGACGGCTAGTGTAAGGGCAGGGGACTCAGAGCGTTGCACAAGTCTCACCTCACGGTACTTCGACAAATAGATTTTAAGGGCTTCCGCATAGTTTTCAAAACCCAGTGAGGTCATGGCAAACAGGATATCCTCTCCATTGACGGTTTTGCGCTTTTCCTGTTGGCACTTCTCGGACGCTGTGACTCCAGTGAGATTACGCCGGCGAATATTTACTGGCAAACCGATAAGACGGCCAAACTAACCTTCGCTAGTAATGAACGAAATGAATTCGCTCACACATTCTTGCATACATTCCTTGGCTTCTTTTGCAATCTTGGCATTGTCTGGCAGGGCCAATTTCATGATGCGGGCAACTTTAAACTAGACGTTAGCATATCCACGTTGCATTTAATTCTGATAGGGTGCAAGATATCCGTAGATGCGCATCGAGCGAGAGCTTCGATTGGCGCATCAAGGGAGGGTGAGTATGCTTGCTTGGCAAAGGCAGAGAGATCAAAATGAATAGAGCGAAAAGGCGACAACTTTTGACAAAAGGGAAAAGAGGGGATTAGGGAGGAAGAAAAAGGAATTGTACAACGACTTGTATGGGTGGTGGGCAAATGTAGTCGGGAAGACCGCTGTTGACCAGCAGGCAAGCCGCAAGGTACGCGCAAATCAGGAGCTGCAGGGGAACGCAACTAACCATTGGCAATGGGTAACCACCTATCCTGCTCCTTCACTTCAAACTCTCCCTGATTCTGTGCCTGGTCCTGTTGTTCCTTGTCCATTTGTTCCTGCTCTTCACCTGATTGAACTTCAGGTTCCACTTCAGGTTCTTTCGAAGGAGAGGTCGACGACATGATTTTTAGCTGTTTTTGGGGCGCGCAGCGGGTCCTGGATTTAGAAGGGAACAACTGATGCTATTTGCTCTGTTGGCAAACCACGTCACCGATGCGGGCGGCGCGCGATGAATTTCGGCCCTGAACGCGAGGATAACTTTGCGCCAAGGGAAGAGGTAACTGGCTGGGCAGCGATTGGATTCGCTTCACAGCAGCCTAAACGGGGAAGGATGAGGAGCAAAAGCCAGCGCGTGTGGGGGATTGGCAATGCTTCCGCGACAGCTCTGCTGGCAGTATGTAAGTTAAGGTCCACCGGGGATGGTTATTCGACGATGATCATATGAGAAGCGCGGCGGGTGAGCTTGTTTTGGGGGGAAATAATTATGACTATTTTGGTATTTTTGGCGGTTGGATTAAATCTGATTTGATGCCCAGCGACGAGGATGGCGCACCGGTCTTCTGGAACCTCCAGGGCGTGGTTGGGGCCGAGTCAGGAAAGAGTTAGACTTACAAACTGCAGCAAGTGGTAACTTAACGTCCACTTCAATACGGGCGAGATCTGGGAAAGCGGGACGTGACGCGGGTAATGCGACACGAAAGGTAACCAGTGGGTCACTGGGCAGTGGCACGTTGCTCAGATGGGGGTGGAAACGCTCAAGGAACCAGGACGATTCGGCGATCGGGTTATTTTGCTTTAGGGAGCCACACGATGCCGGTAGAGAGGGTGTGGTTGGTTCTCTGAACCAGTAGATAACAGTGATAATTACTGGGGATGCGCGCAGGCACTCAATTGGCGAACCAGAAGTTCCTGACAGTCAAGCACGATCACTGGCTAGTACTGAAAACCAATGAGAGTGTATGATGTTATGGAAAATGATCCTCTCCTCCACACTGACCGCGAAGGAACGGGGAAATGGAGAATTGCTGACAGGAAGAAAAGAAGATTTGATGATGGATTGGATTGAAATCAAGTGATAGATTGGATGAGGGGGAGGACGAGAACAGTTGCAGAAAGAGAGTGAGGAAGAAGAAGAGAGAGGGAGAGAGCGAGAGAGACCGTGACCGTGACGGGAGATGGACAAGGCCAAAGTAGATGGCCTCAGGACTCCCTCTCTCAGCGCAATCAATACCGCCCTCATACAGGGAACTCCGGTATCGAAGCTCCCTCTGGGCATGGATTCCACGCAATGTCGCAGAGGGGTCGTATTGGAGATGTACCACACGTGATGCATGAATACTTCCGGTTCATCTGGTAGCAGTATTATGACTTCTGGAAGTACATACTACTACTAAGGTAGGCATGGTATGTACATACATCCATACTCCCAGAACAACATTCTCGACAGTATCCACCTTGTCATATCGTCATTCAGAGTGCATTGATTCCATCACATTATTAATCGAATGCACTGCCATCCAACCACCGTATATACCTTCTCCACCCGAGCAACCGTTGTCTGCGAAGTGGGAACCCTGAAGCGCAACAAGAACAAACCCTCGCTTTCAGGCATCTTTATTGGCCGGTTTTGGTTTGACCAAAGAGGTACTTAATACTCTCCAAAGTACCAGGTTGACTGGAGTATCTCCTGTCACCAGATCAAACCTTTGGATCCTCTGTTCTTAGTGGCCCAGTCTATCAATTTGGGTTCTGTCTATTGCCTAGTCTGCCCCGCCCATCACATACATCCGATGCACCGGAATAGAATGGAGCACCGGATCAGGCATCCAAATCGACAACAACGGTGTGAATAAGACAAAGTGGACTAACAGTTGGCTGTGTATGCCTTGATATTTTTATATCAGGCAAACCTGCAGCATCCAGCCACCCACCTGCAGCCCAAGACCAGCATGATGGTGGTGCAAGGCATCCATCCGTCGACTGTTTCTGGAGCCGGTGGATCAATCACATTTTTCTACCCAAGAGCTGGTCATGTATGCCCTATGTCGGGGTCCCCGTGCGAAAATTGCACATGCCTCATCGCCTATAATGTAGGGACTGAAAAAAGGCATGTGTGATTGTTCGTCGAGGCTGCCCTGTTGTCAGGACTCTAGAGTATGCAGGTTCATCGGCAAGTTCTCCGGGGCTGACATGAAGCAGCCAGTCAGAACGTGGGGGATAGAAAGTGATCAGACGAGATCTTACCGGAGTGGTAGACCGGCATGCCATTCTGAAACAACCTACTTTCTGACACTCTCTCCCTGCAGTCCCGTGATTGGTTCCTATGCCAAACACTCTACAGTTGGCAGTGTATACCTGTCGAACTACATGATATGGTGGTTATTCGATGTCTACAGGTTTCCTCAACAATACTCTATTACCGTGGCGTCGTCAACACTGCGTGCTCTGTATCTCGCCGAAGAATGTCTCCGAGGCCTGTTTGTCTCGCCTACAGTACAACAGTCAATCTCTGCAGTAGCCAAGTCTGGTCGAGCATTGCACAGGATTGTTTGTAATTACTAATATGCTAGTTTCACCTGCAAAGTAACGGCGAATGCGACATTGTGTGATACACCTCTCGGGTTAGATGTCCTACAGAGATTTACGCGTCTGTGGACTTCTGAAGAGCAGAACATGGAGTTAATCATGGGTATCTACATAAACCAATAAAATAAACCACCCCAAGACTAAAATAGCTCATGTCATGACCGTATAATACTTTGAGGCTAACGAGGAGACTGTACATGCAATAGTGAGGAAGGGCATAAGAACTATCCCAATCTACACGATTCCTGTACCTCTAGGTAAGTCACAGGTTCTAACGACACTTCCAAGCCAAGGGCATCGGTTATATGTAACTCTCACTACAAGGCTACTTTAATATCTCATCTCTTATCAGTATTCTCACTCTTGTACTGTCCTCTTCAACCCCATACCATTTTACTCCCTCATACCTACTTCCACTCTTTCCCAGAGCTATTACATTCACGAACCCAGCTATATGCACATATCCCTTCGTGGCTAAGCACCTCTCAAGAGAGCACAATGCCAGCCAGCAAAGCAAACAAAATGCGCAAGAAAAGTGCAAGGTTGAAAAAGTTACTCGTGCCATTCGTCCTTGGGACGCAAAAACAAATGAACTACCAGGCTCAGAAACTATACCAGGTCGCTGATTACCGATAAAAAAAAAAAAAAAAAAAAAAAAAAAAAAAAAAAAAAAAAAAAAAAAAAAAAAAAAAAAAAAAAAAAAAAAAAAAAAAAAACAACGAAAGGCTAAGAGAGAGACGTGAGAAGAAGACGTCGTCGATGAAGGACGGCGCCGGAATGAGGATTGAGTCCCACTCGAAGGATATGAGGAAGACCATAGCATTCAAGACGACAGCGAGGAGGTTTGAAGAGGTGTCTATAAAGAGGCCGGCGCAGTAGGAAAGCCAACAAATGATACAACAGGCCCCGTGAGCATTGATAAGAGATATATGTTCTGGAAGAGGTCCGATCCGAACTCATCGTCACCAACACTTTAGGTATGGGAATGTCTTATTACGGGGGTTCATACTGATTGATTCCAAGCTTTTCCTATATCTTTGCACAGGATGAAATACATCACTTGTTCATTCGGGCGCAAATGGCAAGAGCAAGAGTAATATTTGAGGGGTGGGGATATTCTACTGGAGAGACTGGTTTATTTGCTCTGTAGGGGCTCATATTGCTTGGATTTGTCTTCACCAGGGTGGCGTCTAGAAACTCGAGAAAGAATAGTTTGCAATGACAGATTCCAATACATAACTATCACTGCGTCAGTCCCTGGCCTGTAATATAGACACGGGGGCGAACAAACATGTCTATCCGTTCCTTTCTCATCGCCTACCTAGTTCCATAGGTTGGCATTGTATACGCAACTGGACTATTTGGCCGGTTTCGCGACGCAGGCGAGTTCTATCGCGGCTCTAGCGCAAAAGCTACGAAGGCCTGTCGACAGATTCGGACCTGTTTTCAGACTCCTGGTAACGCCATTTTGCTCTCCCTCTATCTCCCGATGAACCATTACATGACATTAGAAAGGGGCAGACAACGAATCGCTAATACAAATCAAATTAGGTTCAAGGTTGTACGACTTGGATATTGTTCTTTTTCTGTATAGCAAGACGGTTAGCCCCTATATTTCGCCCTCTGCTTGACCTCTCTATCCAATCTCGAACAGCGATCGCAGATAAACTAACCTTCCAGTTGTCCAGTTCCGTCTGCTTCGACTTGTACTGCTTCAACAGCTCTTCCAACACTTGCTTCAGGCCATCGGAGTTGGTCTTCAATGTAGGTAGGACGTCTTTGATTGTCCGCTCAACCAGAACACCATTCACCATGCGAAAACACTTTCTCTCTTCAGGGAGGGGTTCGAGCGTCTCGATGACAAGCCTAGGTGCAAATGTCAGTGTCAATATTCTCATACGATTCCAAACTCTCCGTAGTTCGCTAATCCACTCAATTGAGAGCAGTCAGGTAGACCCACTTATGTTCCTCTGCTTCCTGCTCAATATCCCCAATCTTCTGCGCCATCTGTTGCAGTGTGTTTTTGTAATTTGAGTATTGGAGCTGGAGCTCTGCGCCGCATTAGCTTCGGTTCACACATACTCCAGCGGTCATAGAAAGTTGAGAAGCATACCCTGTTGCCTCTTGGGGTTTACTTGCTGTTGGCTGGCCATTTTTGTCTGCGAGTCGTAACAGTATGCTGTTGCAAAGCTGGAGTTGCGGGGCGGGGCGTTTGATATCGGAGTTGATGTTTCGCGCCGTGTTCTTGTCTGCGGCGAAGATCCCACAATACTATGGGTACCACCAAACTAGATCAGATTGAGGCCACCACAGAGATAATATCTCTACATTACTCATACAGGGTATCCATAAACTACACTTTACATGATTCTGGGTTACGAGATAATCTTTCATTTTTCACTGAGCTGGACCCCTCAATGTGGTATTGATCGCACGTGACACAATCGTCGGTTTGCATGGTTTGTCAATTTATTTATCGGCGATAATGAAATGGTTTCCTATCAAACATCTCTTCCGCTTCAACCTCAACCACAGGGCTTCGGGCAGGCAACCGGTGGCCCTTTGTGAAGTTTTCCACACCTTTCGGGGCACCCCAATTCGGTTAATATTGCTATAACTCGATATCGAGTTACACCTTCACAATGGCAAGCAACGACATGCCCCCAGCCAAAAGGCTGAAGAGCTCCAACCTACCGCCACCGCTTCGCGACGCGAAGCGCAAAGATATCGACAACTGGGAAACGAACCGAATGCTTACGTCCGGAGTCGCCCAACGACGAGACTTCGATGCAGATTTTATGCCCGAAGATGAGGAGGGTACTCGTGTACATTTGCTCGTTCATGATCTCCGCCCGCCTTTCCTCGATGGCCGCACGATCTTTACCAAGCAGCTGGAGCCTATTTCAGCCGTACGTGATCCGCAGAGTGATATGGCCGTGTTCAGTCGGAAAGGGAGCAAGGTTGTGCGGGAACGTCGTCAACAGAGAGAGCGACAGAAGCAAGCGCAAGAGGCGACGACAATGGCGGGGACGGCACTTGGAAATTTGATGGGAGTTAAGGAAGACGAAGGTGACAGTGCTGTCGCTATGCCCGTGGAGGAAACATATAAACATGGGAATAAATTCGCACAGCATTTGAAGAAAGATGAGGGTGGTCAGAGCTCATTTAGCAAGAGCAAAACGCTTCGCGAGCAGAGAGAATACTTGCCGGCATTTGCCGTCAGAGAAGATCTATTACGAGTCATACGGGATAACCAGGTGATTGTGGTTGTTGGTGAGACAGGTTCGGGAAAAACAACCCAATTGACGCAGTTCCTGCACGAAGACGGCTATTCGAAGTTTGGCATGATCGGCTGCACGCAGCCTCGTCGAGTGGCTGCCATGAGTGTCGCAAAGCGTGTTAGTGAGGAGATGGAAGTCGACCTAGGTGATCTGGTCGGTTATGCTATTCGATTTGAAGACTGTACAACCGATCAGACGGTCATCAAGTATATGACCGATGGTGTTCTTCTACGAGAGTCGCTAGCCCAACCTGACCTTGACAAATATTCCTGCATCATCATGGATGAGGCACACGAAAGAGCCCTAAATACCGACGTACTGATGGGGCTTCTGAAGAAGGTATTAGCTCGGAGAAGAGACCTGAAGTTGATCGTCACCTCAGCCACGATGAATGCAGAACGCTTTTCAAGATTTTTTGGTGGTGCTCCGGAATTTATTATCCCTGGAAGGACCTTCCCGGTAGATCTCCATTTCTCCCGTACGCCCTGTGAAGATTACGTCGATAGTGCGGTCAAGCAGGTCTTGGCCATCCATGTTTCTCAGGGTCCCGGCGACATCCTTGTCTTCATGACAGGACAGGAGGATATTGAAGCGACTTGCGAGCTGGTCGATGAGCGATTGAAGCTGTTGAACGACCCGCCAAAACTTAGCATATTGCCCATTTACAGTCAAATGCCGGCAGAACAACAGGCGAAGATTTTCGAAAAAGCGGCCCCAGGTGTACGGAAGGTGATCGTTGCCACGAACATTGCCGAAACCAGCTTGACGGTGGACGGTATCATGTATGTCGTTGATGCTGGATTTTCGAAGCTGAAAGTCTACAACCCCCGAATGGGTATGGATACACTGCAGATCACGCCGATCTCACAAGCCAATGCCAATCAGCGCTCCGGGCGTGCGGGACGGACAGGGCCTGGCAAGGCATATCGTCTCTACACCGAGGTGGCATACAAAAATGAGCTGTATCTGCAAACTATACCGGAAATCCAGCGTACCAGCTTGTCGAACACGGTTCTTCTCCTCAAGTCTCTCGGGGTGAAGGACCTTTTAGACTTCGACTTCATGGATCCGCCGCCACAGGAAACCATCTCAACGTCACTGTTCGAGCTCTGGTCCTTAGGTGCGCTGGATAACCTTGGTGATCTAACGCCGTTGGGACGTCAGATGACACCATTCCCCATGGATCCGCCGCTCGCCAAGCTTCTCATAACGGCCGCTGAAGATTACAGTTGCAGTGAGGAAATGCTGACGATCGTATCTATGTTGTCTGTGCCGAGTGTCTTCTACCGTCCCAAAGAGCGCCAGGAAGAGTCGGATGCAGCCCGCGAGAAATTTTTCGTTCCCGAATCGGACCACTTGACGCTTCTCCATGTGTATACCCAGTGGAGAACCAACGGCTATTCAGATGGCTGGTGTATCAAACATTTCCTTCACTCCAAGGCCCTGCGGCGAGCTAAGGAAGTTCGCGAACAGCTTCATGACATCATGACGGTGCAGAAGATGCCGCTCGTCAGCTGCGGAACAGACTGGGATGTGATCCGTAAATGTATTTGCTCGGGATTCTACCACCAAGCTGCCAAGGTGAAGGGTATCGGCGAGTTCATCAATCTGCGGACCAGCGTGACCATGCAGCTGCACCCAACCAGCGCGCTGTACGGTCTGGGATATGTGCCCGAATATGTGGTCTACCACGAATTGATCTTAACCAGCAAGGAGTACATGTCCACTGTCACTGCCGTGGACCCTCACGTAAGTTACTATCTATCTCCCCCTCTTAAAGGCATGCAACTAATATCTGTTCTAGTGGCTCGCTGAACTCGGAGGCGTCTTCTACTCCGTCAAAGAAAAAGGATACTCGCAGCGGGAACGCCGCGTAACGGAACTCGAATTCAATCGCCGCATGGAGATCGAGACCCAGATCGCCGCAGACCGGGAGCGGGCTGCAGCAGAAAAGCAAAAAGAAATCGAACGGAACGACCCCTCAAGACGGAGAAAAGAAGTCGAGGTGGGAGGTTCTGCCGTGCGACGTCCAGCCATCACTGGTAAAAAGATCGGGGGTGTCACAGCATCGTCCACATCGCGAAATGGCTCTGGTGGTGGTGGTGGTGGCAGTGTGGTCAAGAAGCCACAGGTGAAGAGACGACCCGGACGAGCATTTTAGAAGGTCACAACTTGCATGGACTGTACAGTATACGCATAGACTACTACTACTACTATATACCCTGATTAGGCATTGCATGAATTGGTTAAGGATTGGACGGTATGAAATATAAAAGGCGTTGTGAGGATATTCCATCAATAGCTTTTCTCACTCTACACCCATAGTATCTCTACACACCCAACCAAAGTGCTACCCAAGAGGAAAAAAAGAAGAACAAGAACAAGAGAGAAAAAGAAAAGGAAACAAGCCCATCAATTCACCCTCTAACCCTAACAAACCATAATAATAGACACCAAGAGAATCCACCAGGGAAACTACCTAACCTCCTCCACAAGCAAGCAAGCAACCACCACAGCATGCCATACATACAAAAACAAGGGCCGCAACGCAATCAGTTAATAAAATTAATACAGAAGAAATGCAAGATCAAACTCCCAAAGATATAATCCGCGAACGCCCTACCCAACACAACAAACAGCACGTCAGCATACACATAACAACCATACCAAGATGCCACCGGAGCCCCCAAACCAGGAAAGAAAATCGAAATAGAAAAAAAAAAAAAAAGGATAGTATGCCAAACTTACCTCTCATGCGAAACCCCATCGGCACTCTTCCCGCCCTTCGCGCTCGTCTTACCGGAACCCTGGGAAGGAGAGGAACTCGTCTGCATGCGCAAGCTGGCTGTGAGCACGAACTGGCCAACGGCGGCGCAGAAACCGCTCAGGAAGGCATTGAAGGGCTGTTTTTATAACAATCGGTTAGTCTAGCGTTTCTTCATCTTCATCTAATTCCCTATTCTGACAACAGTGGTTGGATAGCAATGCCCGCGTTGGAAATTGGTACAGGTAGTCAATGGGTGGTTGTTTATGGATGTAGTATATCGGAGGGGTTTAAAAAAGTAGACGTACATAGTTGCCCGCTACAACACAGTAGATGAATTGGATGCCCCCGACAAGAACCAGGAATGCCATGAAGACGTCCAGGAGCATTGTTCGTTGCGGCGTGGTCGCCACGTACTGCTGCCACACATGGTGGATGATGTCCGAGACGGAGGAGTTGGCTGTGAGGGTCTTGGGGCCGGACGAGAGGGATTTGGTCGCGGTGGGAGTCGCCGTGGCGGCGGCGGTGCGTTTCGGAGGCATGGCGGCGTGGGTGGTGTGTATGTTTCTCGCGCGAGGAGCGAATTGTTGGCGTTGTCGGAGGTGCTGATGAAGCTACTGTGTACAGTACTGTACACTCTGGCCGCGGCATTGGTTCCGGCGTCCATCACGTGATCTATAGTCTGGGCCGCGTACTACGGCGTAAGATAGTAGAAAGGTAGGGAGAATAAGTGTATTATAGGGGTTAATTTTTAGAGAGAGGTGGCTATTTGTCTTTGGAAAGTATAGGTCTCATTTTGTAGTCCATGGGTTCCATGTGGCATACTATACATTGCACTATAATACAGGGAATAATAGACCGCAAGCTACCATTTTATAGAGCGTGTAACCCCATAAAATCCAGATCAACTGGACAGAAGCACCACGCAGTCGTATGTCGTAGATCGTATATCATTAAGATTGGAGAGTTTTGTCGTGATGTGAACCAAATCAAGAGGCAGAGGTGGGAGGCGTTCGCATTATAGGAATTGAGCGGTGAGAGCTGGATGGATAATCATCCTGTAGACGAGACTTTTGTGCCAATCTGCGCTAGAGATGAATGAAACGTAAGGGTGACCTCCAGGGTCACAGTCGAGTCAGCAATTAGGCACACCCAGGCCCGAAAACATTAGGTGTCAGTTGATCAGGTAAACCAGCCCGAAACATTGTTTTGCATGTTGCCCATAGGGTTTGTGGGCTGTACATCTTGCATGTCCATCTGGAAGTCACGCATCACTTGATCCCATTCGTCCCAGTTGAGCTGCAAGTTAGACGAATCTTGTTGGAGCTCAGGAGGCAGAGCAGAGCCCTCGGGGATGCCAATCGCTGGCGCCAGATGGGCAGCTGGCTGCTGACCAAGAGAATCTGCAGGCGTTGGCAAAGAAAGCCAGTCCACATCAGGGAACAAGTCATTTATCACCTCCATTGGTCCTCCTTTCCTGAGATCGAGGCCACTCACGGGCGGGTTACTCGATGTAGGACCAGGCAAGGTGCTGGGCGAAAACTGGAAATCTGGGATGCGTGGCAACATCGGAGGATCTATAATTTTTGGCCCTTCAGGAATGCTCAGAGATACAGCACTCGAGGAAGTGACCGTGCTGGGCCCAGGCTGAGCGTGCATCTCTTGCTGTAGTTTAGCTCGGTGATCGGCTGCTCGCTTCATCAGCCGGGCGAGCGGCCGCCAGAGCATGCCCTTTCTATGTTTTGCTGTCTGCAACCACCCCCCATAGAGTGTGCTCACGGCGGCCCAAGCCCGCTCAGTCAGAGGATTAATGGGACGCACACAGAGTTCGGCCAGGACGAAGGCAATCGCATGCCACTGCATATTGATCGCAAACATCCAGCCCCATTTCTGTGTGTTCTTATCGGCCGTTAATAAACGTGCGAATTCGGCTACCTCAACCGAAGTCAGGAAGAGACTTTCGCGGGAAGAGTTGGTTAAGTTTATCCCCTGATATGGCCGTGTCATCGGATGGTGGACCACCAGCCACAACTTTGTCAGAATGAGGCGAGCAACCGTCGCAGTGACCCATTGGATTGGAACGTTCATATCGCAATGTTGGATATACCTTTCCTCGATGCGCTTGTTGATGATTTGGATCAAGTTGCCACATTTCTCGGGGGAGGGCTGTTGAGGTCCAGGAATATTAGTATTTGGGCATGAATAGCTCACTCGCCGAAGAGCAATCGTGATCTCAAAGCGCATGAGGCTGAAACTCATTTCTGTAAAGCTATTTCTCTCTTCAGGTGGCTCCTGCATCTCGGGGCAGATGTCATCATCATTGATATTCAATGGAAGCCGTGTATCGTACATTCTTTCGGTAATCTGAGTCTCGGTGCCATGGTCCTCAGATGATCGAATATCCAGCAGTCCGATATGCCACCACAATCGTCGGCGCATCTCCGTTTCAAATGGTTTTAGACCAAAGTTCGTTCCATCTCGATGTAGTCCTAAACCTTGAGCAAGCCGAATGACGAGAGAGGTCATAGACCAAACAAATTTAGTATCATCTTCTCGGCGTACCGCGATCAGGAATATCACAGCAGCTTGCAGAAGCATCAGGCTTTGCGTATTCAAAAGGTTCGCCTTCGATAATGCCTGCTCGACAGCGAACCGATATCGACTTACGGCAGTATCGCGCTCTTCTCCGAGTAGAGTAATGCATTGGTCCGGTGTCAAGCTTATTATCGTTACGAAATACATTGAGAGTAACAAAGCTTCGGAATTTTTGTCCAGCGCGTCCGGATGGTCAGTGGCGTTCGTAAACAATTGCTTAGCCGACGGCTTATGAACAATGGGTATCAAGGGATCCACATTTTCCAAATAGGCCTGCCAAAGCAGTGGGACTTTCGATGGCGGAGGATGAAAACTACGAAGCGAGTGCGAAAGTGAGTAGAATCCAAACAAGAACCCGTCGTGGTTCGTTGAGTGAGTCGAAGAGGACGCCGGAGAGGGATGATCTTCATCCTCTGACGATGACGGGTCCAGTAGGTCCTGAAGCTCTTCAATCTAATGCCGAGTCAGCATCGTGTACGCCGAGGGGGAAATAGACATGGTTAAATCAAGGGTACAAGCCCACCTCGTCTCCCAAGCTGGCCCAAAGCCGGTTGCTGACGTATCGGCTCCGGCCTTCTTCAATCACCAATCTTCCGAACTCATGCTCCAAGTTTCGCGGCTTTCGCTTTGGGTCAAATGGACACCCTTCGGGCTCTGCACTTTGGGGTTCGGCGCTGCCAGGACATTCCGCTGTGGTCACGGACCCACTGCGCTGTTGCGTTGGAGAAGGCACCGTTGACAGAGACGTATTTTTCTCACTGAGATGCTCGATCACGCCTTCTAAACGCTTCAATCGGGATAGAAGTTCCGCATCGTGCGGCCGTTTCGACTTGCGCGGCGCTCGCCCCGGCGGAGGGAACACACACTCAATACCTGCCTTTACACAGTTGACACACGGGCATTTCTTGTTGCAGCGGACCTTCCTCCTCCGGCAGGTTATACAGCTACGCTGGCCATTGTCCTGCGAAGCATGAGAGATCGCTGGGGGGCTTGTTCTTAGGAGGGGATCTGAGCCATATTGAGGTTGTGGATATTCAGCAGGCGGGAACGACATGGCGGAGAAGTGGGGATAGCAGAGAAAACATCCACCAGCTGTAACATTCTCGACCGGGTGGGAGAACGTAGGGGGTATAATATAGGAAGAACATGCATAAGTTGCGAAAACAAAAATTAAAATAGAAACGGAAAAAAAAAAAAGATACGATGCTAAGGAGTATGGGCTATCCAAAAGCAAGTGAGACGGGATCTTCAGTCTTCGACTCATAGTGGAGCTTGCGCGAGGTCTTCCGTTCCTTTCATTGGCTCTACCAGCCAACGTCCAGGCCGAACGACAGGATCTTGGCGGGTTTCATTGGCTGGGACACCTGGAAACATTACTAATCTACAGTAATCACGATACCGCTAGGACCAGAAGTATCATCCTTCTCGGTTTCAACCGTGTATCGCTTGGTCCCAGAATATTACCAGGAGCTTATGATACGAATGCCCCTGACGTCATCTCCGCACTACCGGAGTGATCAGAAGCTAAAATCATGGCAGCCTGAGGTGCGTGCAGGTCAGCAGATCTCCGTTTCTTATCTGATCGAAATGTAATCGGAGCTGTGGACACTGGAACTCCTATTATCGGCTCTGCATCCGTGAGTCAACCTCTTCGTACCGGGCAATCCCGTTTTGGCCCCCAGTAGCATGAAGCCACGAGAGTTAAGGTTCATTTGAGACAGGGCTTAGACGGACAGCCACAAACTCGACATGATTTGTCCGCTCGTATTGTGGACAACTCAAGCTTCAGGCAAGCAGCAGCCTCGTGGCCTGGGACGTTTTGCAGTTCTATTCATAGGGTTTTCGAGTCAACAATTGAGGGTAGCACAGGAAATAATGTTCAGAGGTGGTCGCGGTCACTTCTGTCGACCGTCAGACACAAAGGATACATTTATCCAATACTGTATATATATACATGTCATGTACATCCATTAACCAACCATAGTGGCACAAACCCACGCAATGAGGCTCGAGAGTATAAAGCGCATCCGCAGGAATCTTCGATAAGAAGCCAATATGACCAAATATGTGCTATAAGAACCGAACGCCAAGTGCAATCCATGCCGGAAGAATGCGCAACCCTAAATAGCAGAAACGCCGGTAAAATGATGGGGGATTCTTGCCAAATCCAATGCAGGTTCACGTCGTCATGATTACAAGGTAAATCGAGTGAGGTTTAGAGCTCGTCGAGCGAATATGAAAGTGATTTGGTGGCGTTGGCAAAATCATGTCATCTTATATTTGAGAGGCGTCGTTCGCACGGGCAGATCGACGGCACCTCGTCGTCGCAGCGACCGCTTTCGTTTCCTGCGCATAGTATAAGCAAGAAGTCTATCAAGCACTCCGTCAACTATGACTTACGAAACTGCATCCCAAACTAGAGTTTCTTCATTGAAATGGTGACTGCGAAGTGGGTGTCAGTTTACCAACAAGACCGCCGGAAAGAAAATGGCGCAAACGTACTCTTGGAAATCCGTGGCGGTCAAGGCCTTGGAACCATATTCCTCTTCAAGAAGCTTGACGTATTCGAAGGGAATCTTAACTGGGAAGTCTTCAAAGCGACTATTCCGGAGCGGGAAGATGTCATTTTCCTTGGACAAAAAATCAGTCATACTGGCGTGCGATGCTGAGGGCAAGCTACTTACATCAAAATGATGTTTGTCTTTGCACATTAAAGCTCCGGTGTCGCCCTTTTTTCTCTTCTCATCGTCCGGCCGTACTGCAGTAATATCGATAAACAATCCCGACGAGGTATCAATCCACCGTGCATCAATGACGTTCATTTTGTCTTCGATTGAACGGAAAACGTAGTTCGGGTTGATCTCGAGTAAATAGGTTCGCCCGCCCTCGACGCCTGGAATATCGAAATGGTGCTCGGTCATATTGTAATACTCATCCAGGAAATGGATGGTCGGCTCCGAAATCTGGACGTCGATATCATTGTCCCATGGGAAGATCTAGCCGTCGTTAGGAAACGCCATATGTCTTCATATCCCATGGTCTCACGCTACCTTTTGGTTCCACCACCACGCCAGAAGAGTTCCGTGCATTATCCATGTTTCAGCACCCATATCGGCCATGGTTGACAGGTATGTTCGAATGAGTTGGGATAGGTGTGGCAGCGTCTCTTCCTCCGAAAGCTCTTGGTCGGCGTACCTACAAATGACAAACTTTAGTACATGCGCCAACCCGGAACAGAGAACTCAAAAATAATACCTTCCATCATAGTGATAGTGGAAACTATTGTCGAACCAGTTAGTTTAGCAAATCTAGAGAAAGCGAAACCGATGACGTTGTAAAACACATACCTAGACTCGTCTAATGACTTGGTTAGCAGTCGCTTAGAATTTCTCGGAACAGTAGGCACTTACGGAAGTATTTCTCTGTCGCTGGTTCACTGGGGCCTGTGCCGCTATAGTCCTTGACAAACTTTGTCCTTACACTTTTGAAATCGGGGTCGGTATCCGAGATGGCCAACGCACTCACGGCGAACACGAGCCCGTAGAGACCAGGAAGCCACGGGGATGTGGAAATCCACATTGCGTGTGAGAGAACGAGTGGTGTCTCAAGTTTTCCGCCAACTTAACTCCTTTCCAATGTTGTTTTGTTGTTGTGGAATGTCAATGTAATTTTTGATTTCCTCCTTTCCTAATTCAGTCCAATGACGAATAAGCCTGCATGCCCAAGTGGTACCGGTGGCACAGGGCGTTTATAAGGTAGGCCGGGGTTGCTGGTGCGGGAAGGACGGAAGTCCGTCAGGAATCCGATATGCGCCCGGGGAGATCGAAGTTGAGATCGGCAAAATCAATGTGTCACAGCGAGCGAATGGAAGTATAGTTATCGTTTGGGGACAAGGGAGGTTATTGGGAGAAATAATCTTCAATTCCCGAAGAAATTGGGACCGTCCAGCAGATATGTAGGGATCTGGAATGCCAGATCAGTGGGTCAATTTGGATTTTATGGCAGTCGCGTGCTCAGTTACTTGGTGGCAAGTCATTAAATAGCCTTGATCTAAGACAACCTTCGTTGCTGCTGCCATGGAAAGCCTTGTGGACCTTGGCGCTGCAGATTACTAGTAGTTCTTTAATCGGGCCACTCAGAGGCGCGACGGCGTTACTATGATTAAGTCGAGAGAGGGGCCGTTCTTCGCTGCATTTTGAATTTCCGTGCTTCCGTGCATAACAAGAACACCCTTCTCATAAAATTTGATGGAATTCAAGGCCTCCCACACTGAACACTGCCCACGACATGCACCGTCTTCCAGGTCCTTTTGTTCGTGGTAATTCCACCAGTAGCATGCCCTTCCCACCACAGGTACCGCGAGGAATCTCGATTTTTTTTCAGTGGCATTGGCTGAATGGGAAGATATGGGGATGAGGCCGCGTCATGGCTGCGTACTGAGTAATCCCGCCTTTCCCAACATCAGATTAACGAGTCAGTACGTGGTTCTATTGGAGCTTTGGGATGCTATATTGGTCTCCCAGATCGTATCGCCAGAGTATCCTCGGCCCCCTATTCTTCTACCTTGAAGAAAAGACATCGAACCAGCCAGTTGATGTGAGCGGACCCATTTGCCGACATGCCTGTGCAACATACCTCTTTTACTTTACTATGTATAGTCACGGCGTGTGGAGCCTGGAGGACCCACTGTCTAGATAAACAGAGACCTAGACAGAAAGAGGGACACCCGAAAAAAAAAAAAAAAAAGACAGGGGAGAGAGAAGAAAAATTCCCAAAATAAAAGAAACAACGTCAGACGCGATAACGAAGGCAATTATATTTCACAAAGGTTCATATTCAGCCCCTATCGCGCAATTGCTTCCCCTTTTTCGAGAGACGTGTCGGTATACGTATCCAGCATCGAGACCCCGAACACAGGCAGCAATATGAACTTCAATCCCCCCAGCAATGCCAAGGAAACTAACCCACCACTAAAAAGGAGAAGGATCTGAACAGCTTGTCAGTTGAAGACTGTTGAGGTTGTGTATTGACGTCAACCGGGCTACTGCGAGACAATTCCATGGTTCTGCACGGAAAGTCTTCAAGTCCTACCCTCGCTATGCAATTTTTACTCCACTAGCCACAGGTAGAGTCGCCTCAAACTGGCTACCTTTCTATGTTACAAATATGCCGACTGCTATAGCGTTCTTATTCTATGTATAAAACGGTAGTGATGGTATTTCTTATCACGTCGATTGAAGTTATACATGTATTATGAATACTATTTGGGAGTATACTGTTCGAGGTAGAACTCGCATAGCCGAATTTAGACGCCATATCCGCTACTTTGTATCCCGTGGATTTAATCTAAATGTAGCCGCCACAAAGTGTATACCGGGGTTATAGATCCGTAAATTACAGTGTAAGAAACGATGCACACACCTTATTGAACATGACAGATAATCCATCGCTTAAATTGATTATCTGAAACACACCCAAGCGACCATGTGCCGTGAAGTTGCACCAGAGCAGAGCGTTGCACTCGGGAATCGTCGGTTCTGTTATCCGACGGGTTGAGAGAACTCCATGCGGAACGGATTAGGGGGTTGATTTCTGCAGAGTATATCTAGTAGTATTGTGTACCCCCGCAAATCTTGGCTCCTGACATCTTCGACGTCATTTCTGGCCAGCCAACGCCGTAGCCTCTCATTCCGGCATCTGGGTATAGAATGCCAGCTTCTGGAGCCCAAAGATGGGCCCAGACCTGGAAGAGATTTAGTGACGAGACACTTCTCCCTGTAAAGTACTCATGCTAACGACACGTGCTGCGCAATGCCGAAACTACCGGCAGTGGCTTGAAGTTGGCTGGGTAACCCTGTTCGGTCTCTAGTACTGCTCACTGTACGGAGTACTCCGTAGCCTGAAGGACATTGCAACAGTATTGTGCTGATTAATGTCCGAATATCCTAGTATACGAGCGTTTAGGATACATAGAAAAGATAGGTAGGTACTCTGCAACAGAAACTGGTTCTAAGGCTCGTGTCGCATGATGAGCCTTGCATCCCGCCTGAGCAATGGGTGAATGGCTTGGGCGTTGGAGGATACATGGCAGTGAAAATACCCTATCCATGGTTTAGGCCCAACGAGCGCTACATCCCGACAACATATTTTCTGGGAACGGGTGATATCTCCACGTAGCGTGACTACCACATTGTAGCATGATTCTTGGAAAGGGGATTGCTAAAAAAAAAAAAGCTTGAGAATAATTGTAGATGCAAAAAGAAATCGCCGTCCCAGGTGAGGATCGAACTCACAACCTCCTGATTAACAGTCAGACGCGCTAACCAATTGCGCCACCGAGACGATCTTGTTGAATTGGCTGAGTGTGGCTTGACTTATAAGCCTTAAATTTTTGGCCTCAGGTCTAGGTACTTATGTGCAGTGGTGACTCTTGGCATAGATAGTCTTTCCTAATGCTTGTGTGAATGTATATTCAATAAAGGTTGTTTGTAAAGTAGCTGGTCTTAAGAAAGTCAGTAGGCTTAAAGAACAATAATCCATAGACTACATATCTCAGAGTACATAGCCAAGATGGCCATGGTATCACGTGAATACCAAGTATTGCGCTAGTATTGGATACGTCACAGGAAGAACACCCAGATAAATCTGATCTGCACGTGACGAGGCAAGCCTCACCTCAAGGCACGACAGTTGTTCCACCACCGGCGCCTGGCCGCCAACGCGTCGACAATCCCCGGCAGCGCATCCACCATCATCGTCAATCGGACATCGGATACACTCCAGCTCAAGAATCCACAGTCACCATGGGAAAGAAGAGACGTGGACCCACCTTGGATGAGCTTCTAGCTCGTCCGTGGTGCTACTACTGCGAACGTGATTTCGATGACCTTAAAATCCTCATATCGCATCAGAAGGCGAAGCATTTTAAATGCGAGAGGTGTGGGAGAAGGCTGAACACTGCTGGAGGTGGGTTGTGATATCTTTCTCTGTTCTATTTTGATGGACCGATTCTAACCCCGCGCGAACAGGATTGTCGGTACATATGAGTCAAGTACATAAGGAACAGTTATCGGCTGTTGACAATGCGCTTCCTAACCGGCAAAGTCTTGACGTTGAGATCTTCGGCATGGAAGGTGTCCCCGACGATATCATCCAGACTCACAACCAGCGGGTCGTAACACAGTTCCACCAAGCCGAGGCGGAGCGACAGGCCCAGACTGGTAACCCTCCTGCTGGCGCAGGCGTTGGCGGACAGCCAGCGAAGAGACCGAAGCTTGAAAATGTATCGGATCTGAAAAAGCGACTGGCAGAACATAAAGCCAAAAAGGCCGAGGCTCTGACCGGCGGAAGCAGCGGTGACGTGACGCCTGTTGGCGCAGGACAAACACAGAATGCGGGTTCCTTTGTAAGTTTGACATAGTAGATTTGGCTGTTCAAAGTTCCCTGAGGCTAACGATTGCGACGCAGAGCCAGTCACCCTCGGCAGCCGCGCCAAACTCACAGTACACATATCCTCAGCCGTACGGGGGTGCGGGCTCTCCCTATCAACAAACGGCCAGTCCGGTCTACCAGAATTTCTCACCTGGCGGACAAACACAATTCCCCCCTAGTGCGCAGTATACTCCAGCGGGGTACTCCCCGCAATCATTCCAGGGCACCCCCGGTCAGACCGGCGCAGCTTACGGAACACCACCGCCTTTCCCTCAGCAACAGCCACAGCAACCGACTCCTCAAACCAACACACCCCCACAGGCTGGCGCATTTGCGCAACGATCTGGGAGCTTACCAGCTGTCCCCGGCCTTCCGCAACGGCCTGCCGTGGGTGCGCCACAGGTCAATGCCTATCAGCTACAGCAAATGCACATGGGCCATCCGGTTCCGGCCACGGGTGCACCTGCTGGCGCTGCTAATGGCGAGAAGCCCCCAGGAGCCGAAGCCACACCGTTCTCATCGTCTGTTGACGACCTCATCTCCGGTGCTGCCAAAGAAGCAGACCAAGCAGCCGCCACCGCTGCCCCTCCCACAGAAGAGAAGCCCGCCAAGAAGGACAAATCCAAGCAGTCAAGATTGGTGTATTCTGACAATGAGACCAGTCCGGAGGAAAAGATGGCGAAACTGCCCAGGTACGCATTCGTTCCCGATCGTCTAGGGGAAACGGCGCTCCAAGAACAAGTTCCTGCGGCCGTAACAGGGGCCGAGCGGGGTCCGGATACGGTATTCGACGCGACGGATTAATTTCCCTACCGAAGAACTCGAATGGTTGGCGACAGGAGATAATCGACTGTCTCGAAGTTCGGCCCGATGGAGCGCGCAAGACTCGCGAGGTCAACGGACAGGGATGGACCACAAAAATCCAGCTAAGTTCGATTGCATGTCAAAAATTCTAGATACACGTTTTGATGATCTATCTTCTGGTCATGCTTTACTGCGTCCTGCCCTGATCTTCTATCAGTAGGTGGCGGCCTTTGCATACACGGGCCTTGCAGCAGGCATCGCATGCATGTCCACCGTGGCTTGTTTTTTTTTTCTCTTTGACCGTGCGCCCCCCACGCCATGGTTACGCGACATGAGCGACGATAAGTGTTGGTGAGTTGGTCGTCGAACTTTACTGAAGGAGCTGATCTTCGCGCAATGCGTTTCTTTTACTGCCGTCGGTCCGAACCGGTCTACTTAACTGTAAGTTCTGGTGAAGGTAGGCAATCATCCATTTGCAAATAAATCTCGGATAGTTCAGTTGTATCATCTTAAGACCAAAGAATAACCCATGTAATGAATGACAACGCACAACCATCAATCAAATGACATTTAGAGAGAGAAAAAAAAAGAGGACTCAAATGGTATAATCATACACCCCACGACCCTACAACCTCCAATTGAATAAATCAACAAATCAATCAATAACTGAGACTGTAGACCCAACCCCAAATCAATTCCTCCCCAAAACAGCCCTCCCAAAAACCAAAAGCCCATAAATAGCCACAAAGCTCAGCCCAATCGGCACCGGCTTGCGGGTCTTAATCGCCCTGGGGATGGAGCTCCCGCTCAGGACAATAGAGGCCAAGAGACCCAGTTCGTCGCCGTAGGCCTGGCCCGAGCGCAGACGCTGGAAACTGTAGAGGTAGAGGGCGCCGACGGAGAGACCGGCTGCGATGGAGGGGACGGAGCCGGTGCGGGCGTAGCCGATTACTCCGCCGAGGGAGGTGAGGATGGAGAGGGAGAGGGCGGAGTTGGTTTCGAGGGACTGCTATCTGTTAGTTTGGGTTGTTGGAGATGTAGGGGGGTTATTTTGTGGGGGGGTGGAAGGACCATTTTGAGGGTTGATTGCTTCTGAGTTCGTTTTAGGGGTTGTTGTGTTGTTTGGGGGGGATTGCATGGAGGAGGGATGGAGGATGAGGTGATGGGATGGTGTTATGGGTCGTATGGCTTCGGAGTTAAGCTTGGCTGAGGGAAAGCTCCGAAATGACAGCTTGGGGTGGATTATGTTGGCTATGATTGGTCAATGAGTGGGTCTCCACAGGAGAACAGTAACTATACTAAGTAGGTATGCACTGTAACTAACTTGAAGTAGTGTAAGTAGATACACAATGTATGTAGCTTTCATTCTATTATAACTGAAATGGTACATTCGACTATCGTTCATTTTATATGGCCATCATTTGCATGTCTTTCGTGATCATCACTTCTATATCCGGTCGTGGAATCGGTTCTGCGATGGGCGGTTGTTAAGCTTAATGCGGTTGCTAGACACCGACACAAGTAGCCTAGACTTTTATAAAAGCTTGTGGTTTGAAACTGATTAGTGGCTTGTCCTGGGCTCAGGGGACTGGCGGTGATCAGCTGCCCCGTAGCCGGTTTCCTGTGGTTCATCCTGCTCCTCTTCAGCATCGTTGCCATGGAATCCATCTGGTTCAACGGTCCAATAAATAGGGACAGCGCTCAAAGTGCCGAAAATGGCGAGGATCCACCAAGGGAAGATGACGTATCCTTTCTTTACGCCGAATGTGAATGCTGCACCGCAGATGGCGGGCCCGGCGGCTCGTCCCACGGCGCTGATACTCGTGGCAACTCCGTTCAGGGTCCCCAGCACGGTTAGGCTGGTGGCTGAGTTGGTCAGCAGGATCGTGATGCTGGGGAAGCCGAAGATGGTCGCGGCGAGCTTTGAGAGCATGAGGATGAAAACTGCTACGTGACGCAGAGACTCTGGTACCAAAGCAGTGAACGGGGTTACAAGGTAGATAACGGGAAATACGAGGACCATGGCCTTCAAACAATTGAGGACACCAAATCGCTTGGCCGCGCTTGGGAAGACCAGGAATTGCAGAAACATCCCGATGATTCCAATAAGAGTATAATATAAGCCGATCGTTTGGGAATCTGAGAGAAGAAATTAGACGGTAGATAGGGGACAAATCATGATCTCACAGGGACTTACCGACGCCAAATCCTCCTATGAATTTGAATGGTAGGTGCACATCCGGATTATCATGGATTTGCTGGACAGGAGTATGCAGGAACACTGGGAGAAGTGAGTCGAATGCCATCGTGTGCAGCGCCATCAAGGCATACGCTATGAGTATCAGTCTGGACTGTGGCGAGAACACTTCCTTCCAACTCGGTCGTTTGACTGGGGCTTTCTTCCGCTGGGGCGGGTTCCCACCCAGCAAAGGGGTGTTCTCATCGTCCTGCACTGCGTACCGCGCTTTCTCCTCTCGGGAAGTACTGCAACTGGTCAGCATTTTGCCCAATACCAAGCCGTAGTCGCGGTGGTCCTTCCTCGTTGCCAGCGTTTCCTGTATCTTGTTAGACACTGTCCTTAGATAATCTATGTGGCCATCTTACATGCAAGAACAAGAACCCCGTCGCAATACCAACGATAAAGAGAATGGCAGACGCTATGTTAGGTAAAATGAAAGGATTCCTCTTTAGAAACTCCGAGTTGCCAAAGATATCCGGGTGCTTCTCCGCCGGATGTGCTAGGGCGCCTCCGAAAGCAGGGCCAAAGATAGTACCAATAGTCCACACCAGAGGCATGACGCTAAAGGCACGGGGCTGCAGCTCCTTCTCTGGGACCATTTCGGCTACCATCGTACGGATAATGCCAACGTTACCGTTCATGAGCCCGAGCAGTGCGCGGGTGACCACTATCCATCCCAGGGTTTGCGAGAAACCGAACAACAAGGAAATAACCATGGTGCAGGTCAACCCCAACAAGATGATCGGCTTGCGACCGAAGTGGTCCGAGGCAGTGCCCCAAGTTACAGCCATGACAGCCTGACTGATGGACGTGACGGCGGAGGAGATGCCGACCCATTTGGCGACCTCATTCTTCGGAACGCCTACATATTCGATCATCTCCGGCTGCACAGTAGTCAGATATCTGCGAGATAGACATGGCCAACGAACAGATTCAGGAACGGAGTGACAACCAAACCAACTAAGGGCAAGGCAAGGGGAGCGATATTATCTGGGAATAAAGGTGGTGCCTACAAGATACGGCAAAACAGAAGTCAAAACCACTGTGGACGGGAACAGATCATTTTAGCACTTGATCGCGCCATCATTGACCGATCTAGTAGCTAGAATCGGAAAACTCTGCAAGACGAGTTCAGTTCACTGTACGTACCAGGCTCAGCAAAGCGACATATTGCTATTTGAGGCGGAAGAAGTGACGAGGCACGCGATCAGTATAGAACCGAGCGACAAGGATTTGACAGGTTAACTTACAGAGAATGATTAGCTGCCGAACCGGCAGCCTTGGCTGCTTTTCCTGCATGAAGACCGGGGCAAATGGAGTGCTCGAAATATTATATCAATGAGGTCTTGATAGGCAGTCGATCACGGTCGACAGCTGTAAGAACGGAAAGAAAGATAAGAGAGAGGAGAGGAGTCGAACGCAAAAGAGCGGAGATGACGAGGTGAAACCGACGACAATTGAAGATAGTAAAGAAAGAACGTCGCAGCAGTGGAGACTAAAGATGGGCTGGTGGGTCAGCACAATCAAAACAAGTCAAGAGTCATGCTTGGACCCGTGACTCTCTCTCCACTGCAAGGGCTTCGGATTCTTTTCCGATTTTATGAGTCAAGAGAACCTTTACTCCGCTTTTATATCACTCGTATTGCAGACCACAGCCTCTCTCATCCCTTGTCGGACGCCTCGGGGGAATAAATAGGCTTAGATCCATGTAACATGCATCTGCAACCATGACTGAGAAGGTATAGTACTCTGTATTGAAGTCCTACTACGACGCATCCTGCGGTCAGCTGCTATATACATTTCTAACCACCAACGCTACGTCACATTCTTCTCTGTATACTACTGATTCTGAAGCTAAGATGGTAGATGTTCTCAGCTCCGCTTTCTCCTGTCATCTATCTGTATCATTGAAGCACTTTCCTAGCGGCTTCCAGGCGATCAACAATGATAGAGCGCCATTTCTAAGGAAAAGCTCACGTTAGCGGAGTCGTCATGAAAGCTGAGCAGGGTGTTTTCTGCCTTACCTGGGCATTTGCCGCATCACCGGCATCAAAACTCTCCACCAAGCCAGGGTACGTCGCACCCGAGTATCCGGTCCAAAGGCCGGGCGCAAACACCACATGCTTGAACCAGTCGCGCCCATCGAGTCCGGGTTCGTACAAGAAAGCCCGTTCAAGGGCCTTGTACTTGTCATTAACCACGCGAATCTGGAAGTAGAGCCTAACCTTCTTCCACCACAGGTACCAGGGAAGATCTTCATCCAGCTGGGCGGTCAGATCAGCGGCATTGGCGTCAAATTTCTGAGCCGTAGCCTGGAACTCGGCGACTGCTCTGTCCAGAGACCCGAAGTCGAACTCGCCGCCAGGCAAGTTCTTTGCACTGGGCTTGATCTTCTCCAAATATTGACCAAGACCAGCACTATAGTCAGACGCACTAAATGACAGTACAGGGGCCTCGACCAGCTTGGCGGCCGCCAGGGACCAGAGCTTAGTGCAGGCTTCATGGTAGAGCCAATTAGGGTCACCAAATCGATCCATCCAGTCGAAGCTGTCATAGTTCGAGTGATAGTGGTATACGGGGTCCTTGGGGCCACGGCCGAAGCCCAGGTCAAGGCTGGCCACGCCCGCAAAGTCCTGGAAAGCAGTGAAGTCACTACCGCTACCCATGGTCGCAATGTAGCCATCCCAGACATCACGAACCGTTTGGCCTTCGATAGTCTGGTTGGGAGACTGGACGAGGCTAGTAACCTCATAAATCAAACTGTTCAGGAGCGGGGCTGCCCGAGGGCCAAGGACAGTTCCAGAGGCAGCCACGTCAACATTGAGATAAGCAACGTTGGCTTTGGAAAGCCACGGAAGCTTGTCTTCCACCCACTCTGTTGATCCTAGCAGTCCATACTCTTCTCCGTCCCAGCTGGCAAAGACGATTGTGCGCAATGGCTTCCAGCCTGCCTTAAGAGCTTCGCCAAAGCTGCGAATAACTTCATTGAGGACAGCGGAGCCACTGTTCGGGTCTCCAGCACCACCAGCGATCCACGCATCCCGGTGGTTGCCCAGAATGACCACCTCGTCCGGAATAGCACCCTTGATGGTGCCAATAACGTTCCACAGGGGGGTAGTAACGTATTCTTGTTGATTGTCCAGGTTAATTACCACATCATCTGGTGAAGGGCCAATGTTATATTCAACGCCCTTGCTGCCAAGTTTTCCGCCATGCCATCCCTTAGGGAAGTCCACTGCTTTGGGACCATGTCCATTAAGAGCCTTCAAAAGGGGTATGGCCTCCTTGTACGAGATTGGAATCGAAGGAATGGATGGGATCGCATGACTAGGATCCGTACGGTCACATCCGGGCTTGGATGGCCAACCAGGTGTAGTAGGATCGCCGGGTGCAAAGCCTGATTCACCAATTAGGCAACCAACTATCTATCAATCTAGCACATGAACGCCGTGGGGACTTACTCAGGAATTGGGTGCTACCCCGTTGCACAGCACTAGGATTCCGGGCCGGACCCTCGGGGTACGGCTTGTATCCGTTTTCCTCGGTAACCTCACCATCGCCCTCCGGGTCGTCATACAAGATCACACCCACCATTCCCAGCTCCTGTGCGCGCTTCACCTTCAAGCCACGGAAGATGTGGCCATACTTGGCGATCGCAATCTTGCCAGCAAGACTGACATTGGCATCAACCAAATCTTGGTAATCCTGATAAGAGCCGTAATTGACGTAGACGAATGGAGCAGTGACATTTCCAGTGGCCGAATAGCCATGGAAAGTAGGCACGCGGTCAGGCAGACCACTGGTGCCATCCTCCTCTAGGACGTCTTCTTCTAGGGTAGCCTCGAACGTAACTTCAGTCTGATCCTTGGACTTCTTTAGCAGAGCCAGGCGGTGGTCCAGAGGGTAGTTGAGGTAGACGTCGTAGGCCACGATTTCAGTGTCCTGGATGCCAAACTCTTGCCAGCGCTCTTGGGTCCAGATCGCCTGGCTCAGGTTTTTGCCGGCGAGATGAGGGCCCGCCGTATAATAACTGCTCCATTCCCGTGCTTTCTCCGCGGACGGAGTCGTCTGAAGGATTGCCTGCAGCTCCTCGTATTTGAGACCGTGACCCTGGGGCCAAGCCTTGTGGGGGAATGGACGCGCTCCAGGGAGATACGACCAGATGGAGCCATGCTCCCGGGGAAAGACAGCTGTGGGAAGGAGGAACAAGAACAGAGAAAACACGAGCAGCGTTCCGAGAGTGAAGCTACAGAACCGTCGTAGCCTATTATGGGGGTACCGGTGCCGCTGGGGAGCGACGCTGACCACCTGCAGGAGGGGCGTGGATTCGGAGGGCGCCATGGTGTGTGGCATGGACTTCTCCCTCATCTCGGGGGGCATGGTTCAACTAAGTGAATTGAGGGGATCGGAGGAAACAGCGGTCAGACATGGAACAGATGATCGCTCGCATTGATCAATCTGCGTGTTCAGTGTGACAGCTCCTATGCAAGGATGGAGAAAGGGCGAGAGGGTTTGGGGGCGCCTGGAGGGCTTTTTATCTAATCGGCAGCCCTACGTAATGGACAGTCATTGGGTCTCTTTATCGGTCCCGTGCGGAGTCCGGAGCAAAAGCGGAGCTCAAAGCTTATCGACGTTCCCGTATTAGCCGAACGCCCAGTTTGATAGCTACAGCTTAGTTCCTACTATTCTTGCTGGGAAGAAGTTCCTACTCCATACTGTCTCAATCCTACCACAGCTCCTATACAACTGACAACCCGGCCGCCTTGCTCGTTGCATGCTACTCTGGTAAGAAAAAAATCAAGTCCGTACATTGAAACCCACGAATCGCACGCCATCCGTCGCGTATATGAGGCAATCTTCCATCATCAACATCGTCGAAATCACAAACACAAGAGGTATCACGTGCCACGCTTCTCTTATATACAATCAAGACCAGATACGCAGTATGCGAACAGGAAGGGAAAATCAACAAACAAGCAAAGAAAGAAGAACATGAGGGTACAGTTACTCATCAACTGAATGCCCCTCAAGTTCTTCGGGAATCGGAACCTTGTCGTTCAATGCGAAGTTTAACTTTTCACCAATATCGATGCTATCGCGCAAGATCTGCCGAGCGGCTTCGTCGCTAACCCCCATGTCTTCTTTGACCAGTCGGACCGCTAGTTCAGGCACGAGCACAGCTTGTGCGTAACCCACCACGCCAGCCGACTTCACAATGTGGTCGCTGGCCGCCAGGCGGCGTAGCTTATGCGAGAAACGTATGGTCAAAGCTTGTAACCTGTCCAACGCTTGCATTAGCTTCGGATGTATTACAATTGGGGCGAGTAACAGAGGAAGCCTCACATTTTACCAGAGCCTCGAGTCCCGTAATAACCGCAAGAGATCGTCTCCAAACCATCGCCCTCCAGTGTCAGCCGGAAGTTCTTGGCCTTTCCGGCTTTTAAAGTCGAGTCTAGGATGTTTCGGTAGTAGGACTGGCTATCTGGGACCAAGAGGCCCTCTAAGTCATCAAAATAGACACGGATCCGGTCGTCGAACGTATCCCAATCAATAGCTGGATAGCCCTTATCGTGCCACTCTTTCTCGGCCGCAGTCTTCTTATGCGAATCGCAGAACTGCTGCTGCTCTCGAATGCGCTGTTTAGGCTGTGACTGAAACCGTAACAAGAGCTCTGGGTCTACAGCTTCTTTACACCAGGGACATAAAGACTCCTTCGGCTTCTGCACGTCGTCCGCATCATCAAATAGTACGTCTTGTAAACCGGTCTCAGATAGCTCGCTAAGCGGGGAGCTAAGGGGCGAAGCATCGTCATCATCCGATTCGAAGATAGCAGGTTCTCTGGCGGAGGAGGGCGCAAAGGAGGAGCTAGAGACAATATCATTCGGAAGAGGGGGAGGAGCCTTGAACTCGGGGGATGAGCGTGATTTAGACGGCGGGCTTTTGATGTCAATATCCTGAGGGACCTTAAATCCATTATCCTTCTGGGATTCCGTGTTCATGTTCTTTGTTTTTTTGTCAGCACTCGGCGAATTGCCAGCCGACTTCGGCTTCAGTCGACTAGAAGAAGGCGAATCAGTTTGTAGAGGCGTGCTCGATTTCGTGGAATAGACTTCGGAGTTGCGCTTCTTCTTAGATCCATAATCGGCCCTAGACCTCTTCAGGGTTTGTGAAGACCACCCACACTCTAGAAAAGGATCGCCATTGTCATTCTCATCGACGGTAACAGTATCTTTTAACGCCCTCTTACGACTCGAGCGTTGAGGCCTCGGGCTCTCAAATCCTCTCTTTGTCCGCGGGGTTTGTAGCGATGTACTATTGTCTCTCGACGTCTCCGCTAGTTTCTCCTCCAAAGTCGGCCCTGAGCGACGGGGCGTGCTCTCATTCCCGAACTCGTCATCCAGACTGGCATTGCTTCTCGTTTCTTCTTCACTGGAGCTCACAGGTTCATCATCCGTGGCCGGTTCAGGCTTAGTAACAGGCTCAGGAGCTTCTTTGTCCCGAAAAGTCGACAGCAGAGGTTTTCCGTGGTAATTTTGTCTTGTCAAGCGGTTCGATGCGTAGCTCGAATCGGGTTTCGGCCGAGGGGTGACCATAGTGGCTCTCGGGTCGGGGAGTGGCTTGGGAGGTGCGGCGTGTTTCGGGGAGATTGCGCATTTGTTTAAGTAAGGAAATTGGGCATAGGAATTGTTTTATGAATGAGGGAGAACCAAGTGAAGAGCGATCACTCTCGGAGATCGGGGGGTTGGCAGGAAGACGGGGAGAGACGCGTGTGGTGACACGCTATCGATAACTCCGCATTTAAATCAATCTAAGAAGAAAAAGTAAGACGCAGCTGATCCTTGGCTTCAACTCTTGAAGAGATCTGACAGCCATTGATGGTCAGTGCAATTTAGCTCCATCAATTTTTTATTCAGTGGCCATCTTTGAAAAAGAATAATAGTATATATATCAAATGCAGCTAAGGGGTGTTAACAATAATCTAAACCGCGTCGCAAGACTCGGCACATCGTAATAGCTTGCAATCCTAGCAAGGCATGAAGAAGCGCTCAAGATAGTGAAAAAGAAAAAGAAAAGGGAAAGGAAAGGGCTTGTGACAGATTATTATGCTGCATAGTGCCCTTGATTGAAAAATATGCAAGAACAAAAAAGATATGCTCTCCCAACCAGAACTCGATAGACAATATGGCATCCTGGGTCTCCAATGCAAAATACGGTCAACGATTCGCACCTTCTATGAACGCGAAAGATGAGATAGTGGAAAGCAAAAGGTAACGTGGAAAGGACAGAGGCAGAGAAGATGGAAGAAGTCGAAGATAGGAAAAGGCGAGATATAACAAAGGCAAGCCAACGGATGAAGCAACAACCATTCGTACTTCAGCGAGAATTAGACAACAAATAGCGTATAACCAAGCCTGACACATGCATCTTCGTTCTAGTCTTTATAGTCGTGGAACCACATCACTCGAAACTCATAGAAATCTCTCCTTCTTCCCCGTTCCCTATGTCGTGATCAGCCCAGGCATTGGGCTCCAGAGCCAATGCGCCAAGTGCACTGGCACCGACACCAGCAGCAGCACCGATACCAAGACCGGCTGGCGTCGTCAAAGATGATTGCAGCTCTGGCCGTGTAGAATTGGTATCATATGAAGGAGCAGCTGTGGGCTCATAAAATGAATGTGAACGCTGTGGTGGCTCATGATAGGAGGTATCGAACGTCATTTCTATCTCTTCTTCTTTATGGGTAGAAGGCTGCAGATCATGGGAAGCGCTGGGCGCAGAGTAAGGCTTGGGCGGCGACTGAGGGGCGGATTTGGTGAGATTGACAGCTTTCGCAGTATCCTTGATATCGGACGGAGCCGGCGTAACTGGGGCTGAGCAGGGCGGAGAATTCAAATCAAGCTTCATAGGAGGCAGCGTCGACTCGAGCTGTTTGACTTCGATACTTTCGGATGCGAGTTCGGCTCTGATCGCATCGATATCAAACAACACACTTCCAGTTCCGTTGCTATCGACCGAATCTCGCGGTGTGGCATTGTTACGCTCCACGTCGTATGTTTCCCAGCCTTTCTTTTGAGCCAACTTGCCTCGTTTGAACAAACCGAACCGTTTCTTTTCTGGTTTTGCCTCAGCTTCTCGTCGAGCCTCGTCGATCTCACGGATAAGCTCTCTTTGTCGCTCGGCGTGGTTTTCCGGATCGGGGTCCTCGAGCTCTGCGAACTCGTCTCCCAAAACCTCCCACCCAACCTCTTTCAACAGTCGGGGCATTGCTGCTCGGTAGTCCATATGGCCGTTCACGAGCTTGGTAACGTCGAAGTTCTCGAGGCCGGGGATCCCCTCCACGGGAGCGAGACCAGCCACGCGCATGATTCCACCGCTTGTTGCACGAAAGAGATAGCCCAGGATCCAATCATTTGAGGAATACCCGTTCACAAAACGGCCCGATACCACACCACGAGCCTTTAAATATTCATCTTTGTTGGCCACTATAGGCGACCCGAATAGATAGACGTTCTGCACGAGTCCGTGCGCACCTCGATCTGCAAGCTCTTTGAGGCAAGAAAAAATAAGGCGAGCGCCGAGAGAGAAGCCCAAGAGTGTGACAGGCCGCTTCCCAAGATTGCGTTCCATCAAAGAATCAGCCAAAATCAGCCCGGCTGCGTTCGCGCGGGCCAATGAAACGATCCATGGGTTATCAATCAAGTACGACAGTTTCGTCAGGACAAGTGGCAACTGCAGAGACGACATTAGGGCTACTAGAACCGTGCTTCCAAGGACTTGTTGCAACCCTTGAGTTAATGCCTAGTAACAGTTAGCAACCACGCAGGGATAGATGTACAAGAGAGACACGTCCTGACACCTACCTCTGTAGCAAGAATATTGATGGTATCTCCCATGCTCCGAAGCATTTCAGGCTCCCAGAGAACCGAATACAGATCTCCCATGATAGGATCCACCGTACTGAAGGGCAATCGGACGTCATCCACCTTACCAGTCATCCAACCAGACACGGTGACAATCAGGTTGACTCTTTTGTTGTTGTGCAGGGGACGGTACTCGAAAGTCTGGACAGCTCCTGTACGCCTGTTGGAAGCCCTCAGCCCAATCGTGGATCCGGTCAAGGTGGCTCCAGAAGCAATAATCGCCGTACCACCCACTCCTCCCAGGAATGCACCAGTTCCTGTGATACCTACAGTGGTAAACCCAGCTGCAAGGCCAGCACCAATTACTGGGGCCAACAACCCAGCGGAGAGACCAATGACCAACCCACCACCAACAGTGGCCAGGCCCATAACGATATATTTTCGCTTCAGGGCCATCTTTCGGCGTTTTTCCATGTGATCCGACTCATCCCAGGTTTCTTTGTCCGCTTGTTCCTGCATTTCCAGAGCATCGACCACGCGCTTTTCGAACCGGGCAATTTGTAGCCAGGACACTTCCATAGACTCGCCTACTTTTTCCAGTAACGTTCGTGACCGTGCATCATAAGTCGAATCTGCAATGAGGACAAGGAAGAGATCACAGAGCACCGTCCACCGAAGATCTATATCAATCTTTGACGAAGTGGGAAGCTGAGAGGGGGTTCGGACTTCGGGAAGATCTTCGCCTTCGTGTGTCTCATAAGGCGGAGGAGGCGTTGACCTGTCAACGTCGGAGGATAGACTGCTTCGATATTCATCCTTGAGGCTCGGAGTCGCGGGGGATGATAGGGAGTTCTTCGGCGTGTCAACTTCCTCAGCTAAAGGATTCTTGACTCGAGCATTCTGCATGAGAGGTCGGACAAGATCTGCAGGTTGGACGCCATGTTCCGCCAATTGTTCGATCATCACCTGCTCAGCGGCGTCGATATCCATATGAGCATAGATTCTAGCCATGATTGTTTGGCCCCATTGACGCATTGAGTCAATGGTCTTTTGTTTCGCCTTGCGTGTACCCTTCGTTGCGGGAACCCGGTCCAGGTCTTTAGTCATCTGGAATATAGCCAATCTGGCAACTCCGACGTATGCTATCCTTTGACTCTCTGTCAGCAGATCCTTTGTGGCCTGCAATTGACTGACGGCGTCACGCAGCTCCTCCTCCCCTTCTACACCAGTAGAGTTGTGAGCTGCTTCCCTAAACAGATAGCTTGTATCTTCATCTAGACTTGTCGCCGACTGAGCGTCTTCATCAAGTTGCACTCGAGTATAGCCCTTTCCAGCGCCTCCCAAGCCCCTGTACACTGCGTCATTATCCTCTGGTTTGGCACCACGAGCAACTAGTCTCCCAAAGTCGTCATAAACATCGAACTCGTCAATAGCAGGCATATCCTGCCACCCACCATCACTTTGTACTTCATCCTCGTCCTCCGATTCCTTAGACTCATAAAGCCGCTGATGTGACCATTCCGAAGCTTTCAGACTCGACCGTTTCTTTTGTACAGCATCCGACTGTGTAGAAGCAGAGGGGTTTTCTGCACTTGGCTTTTCCGTGTAAGGAGGCGGCGAGGGGCCGTCCTCGTGGTCAGGGAGTGAGCCACCAGAGGTAGCATGTTTCTCATTGCTCACAGGCACGCTTGAATCCTTCTCTCGGGGAGATTCAACAGGATGCTGTTCGACTGCTGGTGAAGATTGCGTCCCGTTCTCTGCATCCTTTCCCTTCTCAACTGATTTTGTGTTTTCCTCCTCCTGGGGTGCTTCTGGCTTTGGATCGTTTGTTACGGGCTTGCTCTCCTGTGAAGTTGACTGGTTATCACCTGGGCCCGAGACAGCCTCTCCAACATCATGGAATTCCTCATCATCAGACGATTCACTCGAGCGTACAGGCCTAGCACGAATTCGAATCGGCAGCCCAAACTCATCTACCTCCTCCGTGGTCGATTCTGCCGTCGGCTCACTCCCCGCATTGCCCCCGACCGGACTAGCATTCTCCTTCTGTGATATGATATCGGGGGATCCTGTACTGGCCGTGATCTGGGCATGCTCCGGTTCGTGCGAAACAGCGGGGTCGCGAGAGTGGTCACCGGTCGCACTGGAGGTCATACTTCATCGGTATCCCTAGGTGGAAATCGGTTTCAATCGCCCAAATCCTGTCTTTCGCCCTTTAACCACCGTGAAGATTCCCGCATAGAACACGCATAAGATCACCCATGCGCGCGAACGCACCGCCACGAATTACCTACGCTGCCAATGTACTCGCACGTTCCGGGCACAGATCGTGGCGAGCTCAGACTGTCGGGGGAGCTCAGTCGTACGCTGACCGTTCTCAATCTCTTTCGGGGGAATGGAATTGATACAGCCGTCGGTATAGATTCAGGGGGACAGGATTCCTCGTCGGGTGGGGTGTCACCGATAGGCAACAGGAAAGTTGAAAGAAGTGGAGGGCGTGTGTGAAGAGTTGATCGGGAGCGCAAAGACCTCTTTGTTTTTCTTCTTCTCCTGTGTTATTATTTTTGTTCTTTTCTGTAGAAACAACGATTCCGGGTCTTGGCTAACAGACCTCTCTGCGACCGGGCAGTGTGGTGCAATCGTCCCGAAAGCGGCAACGGGGGTGGAATGAACCCGTGGTTTGCGGAAGAGAACCTTAAGAGAACGAGACATGGTCAGGGCAGCAGTGCTCACGTCAGTGGGCTCTTTAGCGTGTCTTGGGGGGTGTCTTGAGTATTGTAAAACGGTCGGCGGCGCCCCCCCCATTGTTGTCAGCATTGGGCTATCTTTATATGCCCCTAAGACAGTCCTTTCAA